TATTATTTTATTATAAAGCAAAATATTAAATCATGATGTAAAAAATACTACATATTTTTAAAATAGTTATTTTCTGTGTAAGAAAAAAATACCTTCATTCATTTTTTTTTACTAGGAGCAAGAATTTCCCCATTTATTCCTATTTAAGAAATTGCATTGTAGTTTATATGATTTGGATATGATTGACAAATAATAATTATTGATTTATTTGCATAAGTTTTTTTATTAAAAAAAAGAAAATTTGCCAGGTCACAGTTCCAAATGTCATAATTCTTGTGTGGATTTTGACATTTTGTATAATCATTCAAATGATATGGGTCATTTCACAGCAAAAACCACCTCTGGGGTCATATGACCAAAATTGAGCTTTTTAAGAAAGAAAGATCAGTATATGTCCATTAGCAATAAAAGAAAAATATATTAAAGAAGATCATCATCATGAAGACAATAATAATAATAAAGATAATGATATTGAAAACAAATACAACTCAACCATTACCACCAATTCCAACAATACTACCTCCAACAACATTAACAATGATGTCATGTTAATAATAAGAATATCATATTCAGTAATTTATGCAAATGCAGATCACATTTACTCTCAAATTCTAAAAATAATCAAGAAATCATTCAAGAGTAACCATAATAATAATAGTTCAATAATAAAATTAAAGAATAAGGATAAGCCATGGAATTTTTATGAATTCGAATCCAGTAATCACTAATATTAAAATATATTATATTTGATTTCATGTGTGTTAGTATGATGGATTCAACTGGATTGCAAATCTTCAAGGATTTGCAAATTGAATTGGATAGACATTATTGTTACTATAAAGATAATATTGATGATAATAATGCAGAAGATATTGATAGTAATTGTTGTTATTTAGAATTACATTTTTGTAATATTTATAATATTAATGTTGAAAAATCTTTGAGTCATTGTAAAGTCTACTAATACTACAAAAGATTTAAAAAATGGTGAAAATGAAGTTGATAATGTTGATATTAAAATTGCTGATGGTGTCAATAATAGGAAATTTATCCATTTAACCATTGATGATGCATTAGATTATATAAATCAATATAAGAATGATTCATAGTTTTTTATGCAATCCAAGTAGCATCTCTTATTTTAAGCATTTGTTCATGATGTGTTTGCTGTGCTAGATTTCTAAGTATATTGAATTTTTAATGGAATAATGTATAAATGCATATATTTTTTGCAATAAATTAAATGATAGTCCTTGAATAATCATTTTAATGAATACAAATACAATCTATTGTTGAGGTAAAAAAATATTATCAATAGTTGAACATGATTTTTTAAAACCATTACTCTTAACTTGTATTCTTCAGTTTAAATCCTTACTTTCAAGAAAAATATTTTTATAACGGTTTGTATTCCTAAAAGAAAACAAATTGCAAAAAACAAGGAGTAAAAAGGATATAGTTGGCTTGGTCTAAAGACCTCCTAAATTTTGGGCAAATTTTAAAAGTATAGAAGTCACTTTCTGTCCTACCTTTTAAAAAAATAGCTCTATTAGTTGATAGAATATGTCTTTAGTTTTAATGTAATAGAGAGATTTTCTCAAAAAAATTATTTGTTGTAGAGTTCTATTCTTTTTTAAAACATGTACATATGTAAACTCAATAAGTCAGTCATGTAGGGGTGAGCTCATATGACTGACTTATTGAGTAAACCAACTTATCGAATTAAATTGCTTAAATATTATGAAAATGGGGTGAAAATTTTGGCTGACTTATTGAGTAAACTGACTTATTGAGTGACTGACTTATTGAGTTTACATATGTACTTTACTATGTTCGCGAGGAATTTGTCCACTATGATCATTTCTAAATTTAATAAAAATATTACCAAATTTAGGCTAGCTCTTGACTGTCGTATCTAAATTTGGCAGTAAGAAAACTAAAATCACGTGAATTCCTATTTTTTGAAAAATTTTATTACATTTTTGAACGAATTACAAAATTGCTATTTTGAAATTTGGCCGCATGGTGCAGTAGTAGGAGTCTTTAGACCGAGCCAACATAGAATTGATGCAAAAAATTAATTGTTTAAGACATTTGGCAGAATATGTATGCAGTTAGAAAATATAGGTCATGTCTGATGGTGTTATTTTATTTTATATTCACCCAAAATTCAGAAATGTGGCACAGTCTACAACATTACATATAATATTTTATTATAGTACATTCTCTCATTCTTCTTTTACACAATGATGGAGCTTCCAATATGACAGGAAATAACAGTGGTATCACTACAAGGTTAAAAAAAGTCAATCCTTTTATGTCCTCAAATCATTGTATATCAATCATATCAACTTCATTTAGCTGGAAAGGATACTTCTAATGAAGTATAATGTTTTCAAAAATATGAAAAAGTATTATGAGATTTATATTCATATTTCTAGATCACATAAAAGGCAATACAGAAAATTAATGATGAACCAACAACACTTGCAGTATTGAATTTATGTGTCATTTGATGGTTGTCATTATCAAATTTTGTGCATCTATTGTTGCTGGATTTACTATTGGACCAGCTTTAACAATCATAATTAGTCAGGTGTGTGAAATAAAACTTTATCATTTATAATTTAGATTCCCAAGCTGTTAGGGATAGCAAATATTAATTCCAAAGAAGCAGTTGAAAAATCTTTAGGAGGATAAAGCATTAGGAATATTATCTTTATTTATTTGACCTCAGTCTTTTATTATATTTCTAATGCTGCTTTAGTGTAAGTTTTTGTATATAATAATATTGTTGTTATTGAGAAATTTAGATTAATTAAATTAATTTGGAGCTGTTAATACACATGGTGCTTGATTATCATCCAGCCATGGAGTGATTTTACAATTTATGATGGTAATGGTTATGTTAATAATGAAAAGCAATTGTAATTCAAAAAAATCAATTCTGAATGCTAAAGTAGTACTTGAGTTTATTGCATTGATTCAACCAGATTGCAATCTTCAATTGACATGAAGAGGAATTGAACAAGTATTCCAAGCATCATATTGAACATCATAATATTAAAAATATTTTGATTGTTGGTGGATTTGGAACCTTGAAAGGTGAAGTGAGCATATCATGGAAAATTGTAATAATGATCAAGATAAAATCATAAGAGAAAATGAAGTTGATGAGAAAATAATATTAATAATAACAATGTTACTGGAATAATTTTGGCTATTGATAAATCTGAAAAAAATGATGATAATAATAATAACAATACTCTTAACATCAGTTCTTATTCCAATAACAATAGTACAAATAATTAAAGATGATGATCATGTATGTTGATTTAACTTTACAAAAAGCCATAATTGCTGCAACTAGTGGTGCTTGGTAAAATATTTGTATGCAATGCTATATTGATTATAAAAGCATTTTTTTAATGAAATATATTATAAATGAAATAATTGTGAGAATCAAAAAAATCCCAAATGACTTTATTTTGTTATTTTTGTTATTGGCATCAGCAGCATCACCAAATCCAGAATTTATATTATTTATATCTTGCACAACAACTAAGCTCTCATCATCTATATCTTCGTTTGCTAATCTCATTAATTGTTCCCCATCTAACATTTTCAAGATTTCAATTTCTTTCATAAATTTTCTTAATTCTTCATCTGGGACTTCACCATCTTTTGTTTTGAGGATTCTAGCAGCATAAATATCATCAAGATCACTATTTTTAAAACTTATTTTCTTAACGATTAAGGTTTTATCATTATCTTCAAAGTCATCATCGTTTTCAGTAGCATTATCATCATCATCTCTTATAGTGGCATCATCATCTGCTTGTTGATTGTTATTGTAGTAAATATATTTATTATTATTATTGCTACCGCCACTGCTACTGCCATTGTTGTAATTTTTATATTTGTTCATATAATCGTTGTTGGAATTGTTGTTATAATTGTAGTTGAAGGTGTTATTGTTGCTGCTGCTACTGCTGCTTTTGCAATATTGATTGTTGTTGTAATTGTATTTATAGTTGCTATAAACTTGATTGTTATTGTAGTTGGGATTATTCTGGATGTGACTCATTTTTGTTTTATAAACATCCATGCACAGTCGTGAGATCACTTTATATAATAATAATAAAGCAGAGGAAATATTTTAAATCAATTTCACACAGAGCGCGGATATTTGATTCGTGTAACCAACATTATTGTAGATTTTTTTGCCAAAATTAATGTCCCCAACACCGTTAACTGTTAAATCCGTTGGAACGAAGTTTGATGTAATGTTCAAATTTGATTAGAACTCATCAACCGCATCTAGAATTCTTACATTTAGACATTTTAGACATACTATTCTGACCTTAACGCCCATCTATAGTTGTCCTGCATAGAAAAAAGTCTTTATTATTAATTATGCCTATGAATTATGCTTATTATTATGCTTATAACGAATTATTTATCAATAAACTTGCTTTTTTAAAATCGTTTTGTTAATCACCAGATATACCACAAGATACACGCACATCTAAAATTCAACAACTTCGTTCCTATTTAAATCTTAGAGCTCGGATTACAATTTCAAATGGTCCTATATTTAATGGAATTTTTATGTGTATAGACAAATATAAAAATATAATTTTATCACAAGCAAAAGAGTCTCGAAATGAAAAATATTGAATATTAAATTTTGTATTGTAATTTTGAAAAATGGAGTATTTAAGAGAACAAAAAGATTTGTTGTACTTGTCATGATTCCAGAAAACATCTTGTTAAAACAGAATAGATTTGAAAGTTTCGGATATTTTTATTTGAATTTTAATTATATTGATTATATTTACAAACTTTAATGCAAAAAAATCAATCTATTAAAGAAAAAACCCTTTTTTATGATAATTTTAATAAAACTTATTTTTTTTTTTTATCCTTTGAAAACTAAATGAATTTGTTGCTGAAGGTTGATTGTTGTTATACTTAGTTTACTTTCTTCATCCCTATTTGATATCTTAATTTTGAACTAATTATCAATTAATAAGTTTAAAATATATTATGTAGCTAATAGATTTGATTTATAAAATGTTAAATGCCAAATGTAATATCAAACAGAAGTTTCGGTATAGCAAGTGGGTCAGTTATAGACAAAGCTTATATTTTATGTACAGACGATTAATAATTTTAATGGTATTTGATGCTAGTATGAATAATGGGAATAATTTTCATTGTAAAAAAAATGCAAGTCATGTGCCCACTAATTTATCATTGGTCCAAATTATTTGTAAAAACAATCTAAATCAATAAAAAAAGTTTTTTAAAAATTACAACAATTATTGCATCCAAAGAAAAAGAAGCAAAAAAAAAAATTAAAGGAAGTTGAGAAGGAATTGAAAGAAGAAGAAAAGAAGTTAGACGAGGTGGAAGAGAAATTGGTGGAAGGGAAATTTAGCCAAGAAAAAGTTATTTTGGAAAGACAGAGAAACAGTTCCAAAGAAAAGTTGAATGGGTTGAAAGAAAGTAAGAAGAGGTGGGAGGAGGGAGCGTTGATATGGGGGGAGTTATTAAGGAAAGAATTAGCTGGTAAAGGTAATGAACAAATTGCATAAAAAAAAAATTTTTTTTTTGTTCATTTTATTTATTTTATTTATTCATTCATATATATATTATCCGACCGCCAGATCGATGTAGATGGGCCAACATTCCGCAAGCTAATCCGTAATGGGTTCAGGTATGTCCAAAATTTAACAAAGTACTCTGAAATCTTGAATCATATAGATTATGATTGTCCCGAGCATATAAGCTGTCTACGTAAATTATGGAACTCAGCTATAATACCACCACCTGATATATTACAAAATCGACCTGATATATATTGCAAATATCTCATAAGCATTGAATCATGTCAGGCTCTATTTACATAGAGGTATAGTAATAAAAAAAAAATAATTGTACAAAACTTATATAGCCAGAGTAGGCACAACTTGAGAAGCAAAGCTTCATTACTTCGTAATAGCTATAATTTTTTATGTTAGTTATCCTATGTATTAGAAGAATTCAAATCAACAGATGAGAATGTATCATGGGTTCGACATATATCAATTATTTTTCCAAGGATCTCTTTGAGTAATGCTATATCCTCTTTGATGCCATTGATATTCTCACTAATTTTATTTTGTAGAGCTATGGATTCAGTAACTTTCGTTCGATCTCGTACCTGGTTTGTGTCCATTTCCAATATAATTAATTCATCTGTGATATATTCAATTTTTGGATATAGATATACTGACCCGGGATAATTAATTTCGATTTGAAAAAATATTTTTTATAGTGTATATCAGATGAAAATAGTCTATATAAAACATCTCAATCATATCAACTGACATATACTAACCATGGCAAAAATCGCTACATCATTTGTAAATCACTACAAATTGACACCACAAACTAGTTTACCACAGCTTAGTACTTATGTTGAAGAGTTAAATAGTAAACTCTCAGATGGTAAGACAAAAGAGCAGGCTCGAAAAGCTAGAGATCAGGCTAAAAGACGCTTCCAACAGTTGGGATTGAGTAAGGAGCAAGCTGATACTCTTATTCCTATTCGAGCTCCTGGGAGATATGTTGATGAAAGAGACCCTATCAAAATTATTGCTCGAGATATTATAAAAAATGATCTCTCACCTGAAGAGATAAATGGAATAGCATACGACTTGGCTTCTTCTGCTCCTACTACTGTTGCTGTCTTAATTTATTACGGAAAGAATTGCGTAGCTTAGGAGCTGACTATCTCATTACCGAGGCAACGAAAATACCCTTTATTACTGAAGAAGCAAACCAGATTCAAGCAAGAAAACGTATACTTCGTGGAATTAATGGTTACAATTGTCCCGAGTTCTTTTACTTGGAAAAAGTTCAGGAAAGACTCAACAAATGTAATATTACCAAGCCTCCTTCAATGCAAAATCTAATAGATATAATGATAATGCTATGTATGCGATCGGCAGATGTGGAAACTCTTCGTATTAATCGATACAGACCAAGTAGTGAGTCATGGTATAATCCTGACTATTCTTGGTACTGTATTGGTTATGCAAAAAATAAAGGTGAAGTAGAAGAACCAATACGAGCAAGAGAAATACTTATCTGGATTCAGAGATCAATACCAGATAAATTTCCCTTCTTGTTAAAAGATAAGAATGGAAATACTAATGTTGCACCTCTTAATCAATTCCTAAGTTGCCATAGAATTACCTCATTTATATTAAGAAAAATAGGAGCTGATCATGCTTCCAGAGTACATGGAGGTAGGAATGATTCCTGCCGTCAATATTTACGGCAATTGGCATGTAGGCATAAAATAGGCCATGCTTCATCAGTTGAACATTATGGTGTAATGAATGACAGACCAAATACTCCAGCACCTAAACAAGAAAATAGTGAGGTTGAGGATATTATCAATTTATACGGAGAAATTTCTGATGATGATAACTAATTACTCTTCTTTGTTTTAACAGCACGTATACGCATCCCATCAATAGACAATTCAGAGTCAGACCCAGATTCAGATGAAGACGAGGATGAGGACTCAGATGTGGTATCGTTAAAAATTGTTTTTTTTATTTTAGCCTTGCATGGTGTATGATTTCTTCGAGGAATATCGGGGTTTGCTATCAAGATTATAATATCCTGACGAATCTCGGGTTTCACTATCTCCAATAATTGGTGGAGAGAAATCGAAATCTTTCTACATGATATTTGTTTAGCGAATTTAGATACTAGTTTCGAGGTATTATTGCTGGAGGCAACTGTTTCACACCTATTTTTAACCATTGGATTTAAATCGATTTATTATTAATACACAGAAAAAATATAATTAAATATATTATCATAATAAAGCATTACAATGAAAATTTTATATTGTGAAATTAACGAAACACCAGTTACAGTTGTATTAGATTCCGGTGCTAATTGTAATATTATAGGTAAGAGTTTAGTAGATGAATTAGGTTTGGAAATTGATTACCCTCATATAGAATCTGAAAAATCACCACATATATTAGGGTTACCAATACTAGGGATGTTCCATGAAATAAATCCCTCTTTTCAATCCAAAGATAATAAATCAAAGCAAGTAAAAGTTACTGACATTTTTGTTACCAATAAACCCGAACTTGAATACATACTGATATTGGGTCAGCCATGGTTCCAGGAAAATGCAATGAAGCTGGACTTTCCAAATAAAACTCTTACATTGCTCGATGGAACTGATATACAATTAGTTATTGGACCAAAAATTCCACCACCAACACAACTCAATCGGTCTGTGGATGATTACTTCAAGATGATAAAGGTATATGCTATAGCATTGGATATCGAATTAGATAATCAATACCTTAAGAGAACTTTCTTTAATGGCCTATCACGAGATAATAAAAAAGAAGTAATTCGATTCGGCTTTAAAAAGTCTCTGAGTGAAATAGTCAATCACTTGAATAGAATCTCATCCGGATATACTGATTTTCAAAATTTTCAATTCGGGAATTTGAGACAAGAGGAGAGTTCTATAATGGATTTTTACATGAAAGTAAAAAAATATTGTAAATTAGCTGGATGTAACGAAGATCATCTTAAACATCAATTTATCCGTGGATTGTCACCCGAGAATCAGATAGAAACCAGAAGATGTGGATTGGACCTTCCATTAGAAGAGCTAGTAGAAAGGCTGAGCGGAATTGAGAATGTCAGAAAAATTCAAAGTATATGCACCTAAATTAATTATCCGAGCATTGGTTATTTTTCGATTAAATATATACATTACTTAAGAATGGCGCAACTATTGCAGAGCAATGACCCAAAGGGTCTAAATATTTTTGATCTACCAGAATTGTTAGAACAGATCTTATATTTTTTAGAAATCGATTGATCCCTCTATCCCGCTTTGTTTGTTAACCACCTTTGGTATCACTGCGGTGCTCCAATTCTATGGCGTCGCGTTGAGTTTTTCAACAAGGATTATAAACAGAGTCGGCGTGCCTTAAATATGTCTCGGGTTCTTACTCAGCGATTGATAAACTTTGAAAGAGTTATATGTAGAAAAATAAAGCCACTCTATTGTGCCAAGATGATATATCTCAGATTAGAAGGTTTAAAAATCTCAGATGTATTGATTAGTACGATTCTACGCTTGTGTCCAGATATACGCACTCTTATTCTTGATAAAAGTAAGGGTTTCTCTAACATACCAATTATGGAAATTGCAAGATATTACCCAAAGCTATTACATCTCAGTCTTAATTCATGCAAATGTCTCACTGATTGATGTATCACTGAAATAGCGCGTTCTTGTCCAAAACTTAAACATCTTGAGCTTGGCAACTGTTCGATTGGTAATAAAGCTGTCGAGGAAATAGCCTGTAACTGTAATAATTTGAAATATCTTAGCTTGGAGGGATGTAAAGGGATTAGTAAAGAAGTAATGGAAAAACTTAATCCTAAAATTAGTGTAAGTAAGCCTTCGGCTAAAATCGAATATCCTGATTATTCAGATGATATATGGTCCAATTCTCATCCACCTCTACCTATTCCAATCTATACTGGTACATTATTAGATGAAACAGATATTATTTCTGCATTCAGTAATTGTATCAGAGAGATTGGTGGGATTAATCTTAATTCATCATGGTATACAAATAATTTTATTTAATAGCGGAGAATGGGTAATTATTTACTGAGTTATTTTTTCGGTTATAATATACATCATTAAATAATATTTGACATGCTTTTCATAAAAACACTCATAGAAGGAAAAATCCCAGTAAAAGCATTAATCGATACATCGTCGAAGTTTAATACCATTAGCAAGAGCTTGTTCGATAAGCTTGGAGAAGATTATGGGTTGGGATGTCTATCTGATGATGAATTGATCGGTAAAGAAATAAAATGCTTAGATTTACAGTTTCACTATAAAGGAAAGTGGCGAAGCTTAGATTGTACTGAATTAATAGACTTTCAAATTTGCAAAAATCCATCAGTTGATTTGATATTGGGACAAGAATGGTTATGGATGCGTGAAGCAAAAATAAGCTTTGAACATTCTCCCAAAACCTATGTCCATCATGCTAAAATTGTAATAGATGGTATGAGTATCCCATTAATCGAAGAAAATAGTAATAAAGACAACTCTGGTCTAGCTCAAGAGGAGTTTATGAATATAATCAACAAAATTCTCTCAGGTGCTCAAGATATTAAACACCAAAAGAGTCATCATGGAATATTTCGCAACATACCCCTTGTACCTCCAACACCCAGAAGATTGGACGATGATGCTTCCAAAAATAGCGGAGCTGGTAAGATTAAGAAATATCCTAAAGTAGATTTAGGTGATGGGAGTGGAAATCTTTCAATCAAAACGCACCTCAATAATATTTGGAGGTTGGTTCATTCTATAGAAAATGATATAGAGTATAGAATTTTTGAAAAACTTTGTATTATTGAATATGAACTAAGTTGTATAAATAAAGCAAAGCTACCATGGATAAAATCTGAGACAGAGACTAATTCATCCAGCTCTGATTCAGAATCCACAGGTTCAGACTGGTGTGATCTTGATCCAATAAAACCGTGAAAGAATCGTGTCTGTAGTACAAAGAAAAAGGTTGTCTCTCCTATTCGGAAACATCATAAAAATAAACGTGTCAACTGTGTCCGCATTCCAGAGTAGTGATCCATTCAATCAGAACAATCACGCTATGATACGTAATAAAAATATATTCACTATGTCACGTTATAATGGGCTTCAGGGGAGCGATGTCATGTGTTTTAAATTCGCGAATCAGAGATCGAAAAAAATAGTGAAGACTGGTATGATCTCGATCTGATAAAAACCCGAAAGAATCGTGTTCATATTAAAAAGAAAAAAGTTGACTCTTATACCTGAAAACATCGTAAAAATGAACATACCAACTGCGTCCGCAATCTAGGGTAGTGATCTATCTAATCAACTATAACAACTGGTGCAAGTGGAAGGTCTTTGAATCTTTTTTCGATGTGAGCCAAAACCTTTCTAGATAATATCCCGCCTTCTCACAGTAACTGCTCGAAGCCAGAAAAAATAGATAACATATACCGATAATATATAATGTTAATATATGCTGATAAATATATAATCTTTTTTCAAACTTGAGAGAAAAAAGTGGTACATATATACACCCACATTATATGTATTAATTTTCCACCCTTGTAGTTATGTCCATGATGAAGTAAAAATCGATACTCATCCATCACAATATCTATCATCTCCTCTTGATCTGCTATTAATTCCCGAAAAAGCTGTTTATCTTCATCCGTAATTGGGGGGCGGATTTCTTCAGGGCTGAATCCTATATACTTGGAAATCTGATCACGTAATTCATAAGACATTTTTTGTTACTATGATACATAATAAAAATATATTTAATTTATTTCGCTATATCACGTTACAATGAGCGATTACACATATACAATGTACAAAAAAATAATTACTAGTCACATACATTATCATCAATAGCAATACATCGGAAAAATAATTCACGAAATACATATGGAAAGTAAACGTAATTGTATATGCGAAATCGAGCCACCAGGGCCAGCTTTATTAATATATACTTGTATTATTACAAATGGCACGACAATAAATTATAATTATTCTGAATCGACAGTTGAACTACCCTCTTTTTGTCTTTCAGATTTAGGCATGGACCCGTGTGGTAATAATGACATGTTAACGATTAAAATATTACGAAATATCAATAAAGTTTCTATAAATTTTGCTACAACCGGAAAATCAGAATATTGTACAGGTATTCTTGCTTCATGTAAATGGTAATAACGATCCACGTTGGCTACATCTCTAATAAGTACTGTTAAACGCAATAAAGATCCTGCAACTTGCAATCCAATTATTCCAAACTCGTCTTTTTCAGGTTTACAGCTTTTATATGTCCAATACATCCCGTCATTGGTTTCGCGCCATAGTTTCACAGAATCATCTTCTATTTTTCGTAAGGTACAAAATAAACGAGAACACTCAGTATACATGAGTTCGTATTTTTTACCTTTATTTTTCATAACGAATATAATATCTGGTCGTCGTCCTGATCGGCCTTCTCCTCTTCTATCAGTGCTAGCAATGCTTTGACATTCAAATCTATAAAAATAGATGCATAACACATGAGAGAACCTTTACTACGTAAAAAAGATCCTTACTTTGTAAGAAAAAGTTATAACCAATATATATTTTTTACGTACGTGCTAATATAACAGGACTTTCCATATGGGAGATTCTTTAATGAAGCATGAATCGCCGGTACTATCATGTTAGTTACATACATTCCTTCGTTTAACTTCTCAGCATCTTCAGGTCCGAATGCTGGATTATTCCAAGAATTATTTCTAAAAAATAACCTATTATAGTAGAGCCAATTTGTCTTTAAAAATGATATATGTAAATTCCCTTACAATGTTTCCAAAATTCCCACTTGCAATTTCAGCTAATTTTATATTAGTTTCTTTCCAGGCCCCATCATGAATAAGTACTATTGGAAGCCGATTATTGTCACGTGTAGAAAACTCATTGATAAACTCGTTACATTTATTTTCAACGATTTCTGGAAGTGAATGTGGCACCATTTCTCATACCGGTTTCTAAAAATAAAATTGGGTTATTATATTACCTTCTGCAAAATCTTGAAATAAGAATTTTAATTATACCATAAATATTTCTTTCAAATGTTTTGGTAGATTTTTAACTATACTTGAATCATCTGAAATAACTTGACTACCCAACGGATCTCTCCATGTTAGGTCTGATACAGATACATTGCTAACGGCAGAAAATAAATGTTGATACAATGTGCTAGTATTTTTCTTTAACTTTGATTTCAGCTTGTTAATATTGCTTCTAATTTGATCCGAATTAAGAGGTTTCTCATCATTCACTTTTACAACCCCAATAGCACGTAAACTAAATATAGCTTTATAAGAAATATCAAACTAACGCAGACATAAAAATGAATTAGTTTTTACAATATTGTTTTATTTTATTTTATTTTTAAGAAGCGCATGCGCTGTCAGAATGTAAACAAGACCCGTCTTTGTGAGGTCAGCTAATCCATCACGCAAACGGAAATCTTGTATGATGCTGAGATAACAACATAAAATTGAGTATGTATCTATAACCTAAGAATCCTCCCGCTGTCGAGGAAAAATCCTGTTGGCGGGCTATAGGGAACTTAAGCTATTATACCCTCTTTCTTAGGATGCATCATAGTCTGTGTTAACATCATCCAAAATTAATACATATAAAAAAAACATATTAACTTACTTCTGTTAGAATTTCAAGAGGAGTTGTATAACGTGATGAGTCTCGGTTATTTTGACTATTTGCAAGATTTACTGCTTGAATTATAATATTTCTCAAATCCTCTTTAGGTATCCATGGATAATCTTCTATCCCTTGATAGATGACAGATGCTCCAGTTATATGCTCTTCTTCAGCGTTTACCAAGAAATTATAAATTTTAGTAAATAAATCAGTAGACATATTAGGTTATAAAATTTGTGAAAAAGTTTTATATATGTAAAAATATTAGAAGCAACAAAAAATAAATCACAAAAAGCGACAAGTAACAATAACTTCGCTATACTGTCCTTTTTAAACGTTTTTGTTTATCTCTTTCTACATCTTCTTTTGGATCTGTTGTACGTGAAAATGAAATTATGTGAATTCGCAATTCACATATGTGAAATTCAAATTTACATGTGTGAAATTCAAATTAGCCAATCAGAATTTCGTCCTACTCCATAATATTTCAATTTCACATAATCTATAGAATGGGTATATATAATAAAGTAGTATTTACGCCAAGGAATTTACACAAACATGTATGCGTTATTCTAAAAATAATTTTCATTACATAGCCACATTATATTCATACAACATATTGATTATCTGATTGATTATGCAGAGGGATTATCAAAATTTAATTCCTTTAAATCAATTCATACTGAAATATATACAACATAAATAATAGTGCTTCTTCTTTTGTGGCGATGCGAATACAATTAAAAGGGTGGACATATATACTGGCAATTACGTTTAATCAAGAAGGAATATAATATTTTTTTATTATTTTTCTAAATCGTCACTAACATTATTTCTTGGAGCATTAATCCACAATACTCATATTATCACTATTCCCTGTAGCGTTAATTTCATTATTTACGCCATCATTATCTGGATTATTTTCAGTGGAGGTTGGTGCACAAGGCTCCGGATTTTGCCTATTTGTTTCAGCTGTGCTGGCTCCGCCAATACCTTGATTAGATCTCCCACTAGGTGACATTGAATGCCTGCTATGACACTGGTTGAAATTTTTGATTTTGACAAGGCAATACGTTGATAAAATGCAGGAGCAAATTGGTCTATTTAACTAATGTTTTCTAAAATTGGTTAAATATTGGTTAAAAAGACCAATTTATTCCTATGTTTTACTGAGTAGATCATTGGTAAAACATTGTCAAAACTGAATATTTCGACCAGTGAAACTTCATGACGATCTAGCATTGACGATACTTCTTCATATGAAGGTGGTGGTGTACAGCTACGTCGACTTTCTTCTCTTCTTCGAGCAGAGGCATTTGCATTATGGATTTGGTCAAATTGCATTTCTGAAATTTTGGTTAACATATATTGCTATTAGACTGTACGTATATAATACACCTCATGCACTTTCTCTGAAAGGTAAATAGCTTTTAATAAAGTGATCTCACCTGGTCTTTCCCAAAAACGAGAATGAAACTCACCAAAATATTTCTCAGAGAATCTAGATCTTCTACCTGTTCTATTTCCAGCCATATATCGGCACAATGACTAATACGAATTTTGGGATATAGAAGTACAATCAATATGAGTCAGACATGAAGTGACATTATGCGGAGCAATGGACAAAGTCCTATCTCGAAATAAGACTCTATGCCCGCATATACCGAGGTTTATACATATGAGTCAGATACTATACGCTCTGCATATACTTACATTATGGCTATTAACAAGATTTCGAAACTTATCTTTACATTGATGACCCGTATATGTAGTGTGGAGTTGTTCATTCATTTTATTTGCAATACTATTCCAAAAATCCAATCTACTACTACCAACAATATCATGGTATTCGACATTCCTATTTTTTCGTTCATCTATTAATAATCACAATTGTTTATCGGTCCACATCGTGTAAACGGGAATTAATAGAAATAGGGACAGATATAAAAAATGGTATGTCTTTATACTGGTTTTCTCATATATGTATATCAATTTATTTTATATCTAACCCAAGATTTGGATTTACGATTATTAGAAATGATCTACTTAGGTTTTTAACATATTTCTAGCATGACTGTAGCATATGTATATCATTTTTCATATAAATATATAGGAAAAAATCTAGCGCGACTGTAGCAAGACTCTAGCAAGACTCAATCACACTTATTTTTTAGATAAATTAGTAATTTGGAGTAATATTTTGGATGTATGAAATTAATTTATTATCTATGGGCGATCTCGGAATATGAATCATAGTAATTTTAGACATATATTCATATTAATTAAGGTATGTGCCACAATCTATTATGATTATTTAGACTCCATTCAAAGTTCATAGAATATCTAACATACGTAATCAGTTATTATATATGTTAAAATCTGCATACATGACCAGCCTTATTGATAAAAAAAAAATTACTCCAGTAAAGACATACAAATAAATAAAAATAATATTGCGAGTACAAATATAAAAAATCTAATTATTTATGTGTCAGAGACACTAGCCCCGTTATCCTCTGTTTTTTCTTTTTGTTTTTCTTTCTTATCGGAAAAGCTATCTACAGTAAGGAAAAAAGGCTTTATTAATATAAATATAGTGAGAAATAATTAGCAGTGTTACAGAAATTATCTTGTGGAACATTCAACTATATATATATATTAATATCTTGATTTTTTACCATTTATCAATATATTCGCCCAAACCCCATAATCGCTTGCAAAATATGATAAAATGATTCAAATAGAATTCACACAAAAAATGAAAGGCATTATTCTAGAGTATAAAACCCTAAATACACTATAACTCGTTAAATCATATACACTTATAACATACTATATAAATAGGTCATATAAATGGATAATTTTAGCAGATTAATAGCTCATTCTGGTTCTAAATGCAGTGATGATGAATGGACTGAATATTGCCAGATGCCCCAAGTTCGCGCCAATGAAACTCCTGGTGAGTGGAAAGATCGAATTTGGTCTCGCTTGCAGTATTTCAGAGATAACGATCTTTTACCTACTGGAGGAAGCAAAAAATATCTTGAAGCAAGAAGATTGACCCAAGTCCCATCTGGGGATATATATGCTCCTGCAATTGGAATGGCGATCTGCTTCTCCTGCGAACAATTGGTATATATCGGCTAATAAAATTAAAAAAACTCTCTGTCACCATGTTCAGCATCACATTTGTTACAATTTTTCTTAATTTCATACTTGTATCTTTTTTTTTGAAGGAGAAGATGCAATTGTTATTTTTATATTCGTTGAAAAAAGTTAATTAGTAAATTTTATATATGATGTCAATTAGTTTTGATCTACATAGTCTATCGTACAACCCAACCAAATATATAATGTTCATGTGATCTCTGAAATCCTTGGTAATACCAATGTTCACTTTGGTTTTGTTGCAGCATGCATTCTAAAAATTCTATCAACTCACCAAATTTAGCAAGTCGAATATATTAAAAATTAATCAATACTAAATATATCAATCATTGATAAATATTCTAAATTTTGGCAATATTGTGCAATTGATTGAAGAGGCTCACCAAACATTCATGGTCTCTCTGATAACAACATCATTGATCAATCACAGAAATTCATCCAGAAATGTCTTCCAATAATCCCAACAACACTAATAATTCTTCTGCTCAGGCAAAAGAATCAGAGGCAAAAAAGAAGAGAGCTGGTCCCAAAAGAAGAAAAGTTACTCATGGTACTGTATTATTTTAATAATTCGAAACAATTTGCATATTTATATATTTAAGTTTACATAAATTTTTTTTTTTTTTTGATAGCTTGTGTTTATTGCCGACGATCACACATGACATGTGATGAGGGTAAGTATTATATATATTTATATATTTTTGCCAAATTGTGTTTGATTGGTTTTCTTATAGTGATTTATAGTAGTAATTTTAAGATTATTTATATAGGTCGTCCTTGTCAACGATGTATAAAACGTAATATTGGACATCTTTGTCATGATGAACCAAAAGGCACACAAAATTTACAAAAAATCCAAAACCCTCCTGTTCACGTAGTACAACCTAATCTTTTAACAATGTCTGCAGCTACTTCAAATGGTGAGTTATTATTAAAAAATTATTTGTAATATTCATTGCACTCATTAAAAATTCTTTGATCAATTTCAGGCATGAATCAAAACACTTATTCAAACATAGCTATCCAAAATTTTCCTCAAACCACAGAATATTCACAATTTCCATTAACTTTTGCTAGTGAAGATATGGGTCATGAATTTACAGTTCTGACGTAAGGTTTAACAATCCACCCAATGATCAATCGATTAATTGTAATAAAATATCAAATTATTTATTATTTTAAAAATTTATGATTTCTTCATAAAGAGATTTTTTAGAGAACATAAATGGAAGCCGGCATAATTTACATGATCCTGTTCGTTCTTCATTAGATAACACCACAAAATTCTTTTTAACAGCAGCGGATCCTTCAGACGGTACTTCTGAAGACCGACTTACTCAAGTGATTAATGCAAAATTTCAAGCCGGTCTTTTAAAACCATATAATTATGTAAACGGGTACACGCGTTTACAAAAATATATGGAAAAGAAGTTAGTAATATATATATAGGTGCAAAGATTATTTTTATTATCAAATAATTTTTGGAATAATTTTTCATTATGATTCGTTTTCCTTTGAAAATTTTAGTATGTCAAATTTAAATCGGACGAGAATTGGAAATTCTCTAGGTACTTTTAGACCTTCCTTTCGAAGGATTGCTCAATCATTAACTGACATTGATTTGATTTTGGTTGAAGAAGGATTTGAACGTCTTTTACTGGTTAGCAATATATATATATATATATATTATTCATAGTCAAATATTATTCCAATTTTTCTAATCGTAAAAATTATAGGATTACGATAGGGTATTCAGCTCTATGGGAATACCTGCTTGTTTATGGCGCAGAACAGGTGAAATATATAAAGGTAATAAGGAATTTGCTTCACTTGTGGGTGTTCCCTTTGAAATGTTAAAAGAAGGGCGACTATGTATTTATGAGGTAATGAAATAATTTAATTATTATTATTTGCTCTACATAATAAAATTATTAATTAAAATAATTTATTTTTAAAGCTAATGATGGAAGAATCGGCTGTAAATTACTGGGAGGTTTGTTGATTTTTATATTTAGGAAAGAAGAAAAATAAAATTTTTTCTTTATATAATTTATTAAATTAATATAGTAATAATTTTAGAAATACGGTAAAATAGCATTTGATGCAGGTCAAAAGGCTGTTTTAACATCATGTTTATTAAAAGGTCCAGGTCAAAATATTCATAGTTATACATCATATTGTTTCTCTTTTACAATTCGCCGTGATAAATATAATATGTATGTATGAGTTTTTTTAAAGATATTCTTTTATAATTATTTATTGATCAGCACTGACCATTATTTTATATAATTCATTTAAATATTATGTTGATTAATCATTAGCCCAGTAAGTATGCCATCTATTTTATTCTTTTTTTCGATTAAAACAAAACAATTTTGTTAATTAATATATATATATATATATGTTATATACTATTTAGTCTGCAATCGTTGGAAATTTCTTGCCAATCCGAAATACACAAGGATAAATATAGTCAAATAGTTTTTCTACTTCTCCTAACCATTTAATATTTTAATGTTTTATTTTTTTATTTTTTTAATAATATTAATTTATGATTAGACCAATGGCGTTTATTCGAGTTTTATATTCAGGCCATTATTCGCCTTGGGATATGGGTTTGAGCATTATTTATAAAGGAGCTTTGTTTAATTTTAGTAATTTTATTATAATTTTGAAATAAAATTTTTATTTATCATTATTATAATATTATTACAGAAACTGATTCTGCTGTTTCATAATTTCATAATCAATACGTACTATCTTCTAAAGGTGAATGTTAACAAATGGCCATCACAAAATATTATTTATTCATCCATTAAAGAAATACCCAAACAGAACACATTGCCAATCAAACACGGATTTTAAAAATTTTATTGAATTTTTAATTCTACAAATAAATAATTTAATTCGGAGTTTTTGGATGTCAAACTTAGACTGTTAAGAACAAGTCTATTATTATAAAACGTGTTAGTGATAATATTGTATGAATTATATAGGAATTATTAGTAGGGCTAGGACGAAACTGGTCCTCAGTGTCTGTGTTAAAGACTAACCGGTTCTATTAATAATAGGCCTCGATTCAAAAATGACCTTCTGTTTCTATCCTAGTGCGCGTGATATTAATTTTAAGATGAAATATTTGATGAAATATAATGGTTATTGTTATTAGTATTATTGTTATTAGCATTATCATTATTACATTATTGTTATTATTATTACCATGATTGTTATTAACATTTTTTTCTTCTTACTGTGAAGGCATAATTGGAGGATCAATTAATCCCGTTTTTTTTTCTTTGCTCTTCTTTTCTCTAACACATTCTTCTCCTTTCATTTTACAATTTGCACAAATTGTACCATCGTCGCATTTAAGGTGTTTGCGACTGCATCTAAGGCAAGTGGCGTCTTTGAAGTAACTACCACCGCCAACACCAAAACCAATAGACCATGTTGTATTTACATCACCAGTTTTAATTATATCAGCCATCCAAGGATGTTTAATCAATTCTTTGGCCGAAGGACGTTGTTGTGCTGATCTCGTAAAACATTTTTTCAAAAAATCCATTCCTAATTCTGATATTTGTGATGGATCTGGTAACGGTGGATGTCCAGTTACTACGTGA